AGAACATAAGGTTGACGGAAACCCGGGGGACTGCGCCTACTTGATGAGCCCCAAGAAGAACGAAACCGTTCATGGGCTGTCGATGGATTTTCAGCAACCTTACGAGTAGCACATTACAAATATAACATTTTCAACCTGTTCATTCACACAAAACTTTGTTCTGCCTAAAACTCGGTGTAGGAACTAAGAACCTTGAGTAAATAGTCCAACATAATCCCAAGGGCTTGAGATGCCCTGCATCAAGGGACATTTTCTCAACTTCCCATTGGATTCATCCTCAATTTTGATTCCAATGGGGGGATCTAGGGCCTAAAAAGACCTATAAAAGAACAAGGACAACTCCGTAATTCAAATGGGAAGCCAACTCATGCTGAAAAGCCCCAAAGTACCGTACAGCTGTTTCATACTTATTGGGAATCGTTCGCAGTGCGAATCTCACGAAACTTCAGGGGTGAAACATTTGTACCGTATTGAGCTTCACTCACACAGAACGATATGTCAAATGTCAATTACCAAGTGTCCTCACCAGTTTACACATTTCATGGAATGGAATGAATATATTGGACAGCCGGAAAGCAGCAATCTCCCCTTCGATCCTGTCCAAAGAGTTGAGTGTTTCACCGGGACGTGTTTCCGTAGTCAAGCATTCATCCGTCCATCGGTCCCGTCTGGGGAGAGCTGACACAATCAGATGCCTCTACACTGACTACGTATGCTTCCGGTAATTCCGAATGGAGTCTGTTACAAAGTAGCTATCAATAGAATGGGCAGGAGGTCCCAATGCGTAATACAACTATGAAAGTCACCTGATCACTTTGGTCTAATTGCTGGGTGAAAATTATACCATATATTCACAATATATGTTACTTTATCCCATGCAATTTGGAAACTCTATCTAGATGTGTTTGATCAACAGGTACAGTTCCCAACCTATCTACACCTATTGTCCATCAGCATGCCCAGTTTTATCTCCCCCCTTTTTTTTACCGAACTCTGGTCACCTTGTCTAACCCAGTTTGGTCAGAGTTTCTCAAGGGTTCGCCCATTTGAGAAGGGGGGAGCCATTCGCTGTGGTACAGAAATGGTCGCAACCGACTGGAATAGCTGGTGTGATTATTAATACACCGATTCTAGTTGCACCGCGAAAACCGCTCAGGTTGTTGCCATGCCAGACACTAACTCGATTCGTCTTTGCCCGATGGATCATTGCTTCCGAAAGTGTATAAACAAACCAAACGATATAAACCCGTTCGTTAGCCATCATCACCCTGTAGGACGTCATTCTTCGTACTGATTATTTATCGTTCACACGAATCGTTCAACAGAAATAATTCAGCTGACGTAATCCCCAATGTCCACAAATATGTCTTGATTAGAGCAATGTGTTTTGTTTGAATTTTGGGCCAATTTCCTACTGATTGGGGCACAGTACCAGGTCCACTCATCGCCAAAAGCATAGGTTGAAATACCTGGTGGGAGGGGGACTGTGTGTTTTCCCTATGTGTGATAGGAATGCTGTCGTACCCGACGCATAACTGCTGTCCAATAAATCACTTTATTGTGGTTGTTGTTCGGTTTTTCTTAATGTAAACTTGGCACGATCAAGTTTGCTGGTATTTGGTAATAAAAATCCAATTATCCGACCATCACCCCGCAACTACATGCACATTAGTTCACTCGGGTATTTTTCGGTTTTTCTCTCTCCCGAAACTAGGGGATTTGTAGCCTGGGCGTGATTGGAGCAGTTTTTTCTTGTGTTGTGTCCAGATCATAAGATTTCCGAATCTCAATTAAACCTGAGTATTTCTGTTGGGCATCCTGTTGGATATTTTATAGATTCAAAGCGTTTGATGTCTCACGTGATCGTTTTCACAAAGGTATTGTACGATCATGTGCCAAGGCCGTGATCTCAAGGCAAGGAATCGGGTAATTAGCCCAAAACACGCGACCTTGGTGTTCTCTCTGACAGGTAACTTCGGGTGGTCCGTGATAATCGCGGCGAGACCGAATTCTAGGAATTTCACCTACGTTTTCGTAATGCACTACTCATAAGGTTGCTGAAAAATCTTCGACAGCCGACGAACGGTTTCGCTCTTCTTGGAGCTCATCGGGTAGACCCAGTCTCCGAGTTTCCGTCAACCTTATGCTCTACTTGGACCAAAATTGCACCAAATTAGCGAAGTACACTTGTTTGCAAACAAATTTGGTTTCGCGGGAAACTCACCTAAAGCTCAGCTGGAACATCAGAGACGAGAGATTCAGCTGAGTTCCAGGTCGATCGCTCTCGCAAAACCAAATTTGTTTGCAAATGGGTGTATTTCACTACGTTCATTTGTCATTCAGACATCCTCTTATTTCGAAAAATATGTCTCCAGTCCCAGATAGAATTTTCCTTACTCATGTCCAATTTTGCCTGCTAGCAATAAAGAGGCTAATGGAGTTAGTGAGATAAATCTTTTTGACCAGACCAGCTACATCCTAAGAGTTCCACTGACACAATTCAGTCGTACGTCGGAAAGCAATGCTAGTAATTTGTTTTTACAAGTCGGTTAGTCTTGGAGCCGGGACGCCAGTGAAATCCGTTCCACCTAATCTGTTCGGCAGCTACAATAAAGTAAGTGGACTGGCGCCTCATCGAGAAGTTCTTAAGTAGCCAAACGACGCCTTGGGGTCGTCAGCATGGGTCTCCACCACCCCAATAAAAATGATAAAAAGAATTGAAATGGACAACGCACTGGTGACCGAATATGCGGTTGAATCATGGGGTGACGCCAGCATAATAGCTCACGTTCCCACCTAGACATAACGTAATTCAGAATCAATAGAAAAAATCGCTCAGCTGTAACATCCTTCCGGTGCCTAGCTGCCATGCTACCTGAAGGAAGCACGAGGGCTGCGATACTGCCAGGTTGCCCAAACATAGACAGGAAAAGTCGAGAGACAGAGGTTGGGTTCGAACCACGGACCTTTCGGTCAGTAAATTCGCGTTCTAACCACTTGAGCCATCTTCAGGATAGTGATGTAACGGTAGTAGCTTAGTGAGATTCCCGGGGTTCGATGACCAGTGTTGACGTTGTTCAAGTAAGTGAAAATGGATGTACTTGGAAGGGTGGTTAAATTTGAAGCAGATAAGTTTGAATTCACGTTCTGCTATCCGGCCAACTGACTTTCCAGCGCAACCCTGTTTGGGAGCATGGTTTATTCTGGATTAGGAATAATGTAAATGTTCGATTTTAAGAGAGTGATTATAGGAAGTTGGAGCTTCCTTCTGTTGAAAAACCGAGAAGTACAGTTGTCCCACCCTTGCTGGGAATCAGTACACAGCAGTGCGCATCCTACGAACGATTCAAACACGCAACCCGCCTGCTACCAGTCGAACAGTAGACGGTTTGGCTACGGGCGGCTGACCGAGAGTGCAATCAACCTTCACTCAGAAAGTATGAAGCAGTGGTCAACCTTTCAGCACGTCTCATGGTTACGTGTTAACTGTTGACACTTTAAACCGATTATGTTGACTGGGAAAAAGTGTTTTGTCGTGCTGAACGGTAGTGCAATTCTGTATCGGTCCCTTGGCTTCCTGCTCCTCCCACTATGATATAGCAAAAGGTCCGGTAGCTCTACACAGCCCTTTATGGAGACAAAGGAAAATTATTACAGCTGTATTTATAGGATAGTCACAGGGTGTTCCACAAGGTCGTGCCAGAATCTCCTTGAGGGGGAGAGAGGCGTCGAATCAAAGATGCTCGACTCGGATTGGCTGACATTCTGACCAATCAGGGCGTGGCTTCTTTTGGTTCACGTCCTGCACGTGACACATTCGTCCAAATGACGTGATGTTCGGTTATTAGGGACGACTGGCCTCCGGACAAAATGTTTGACAAAATACATTCGTTTGCGAATTCGGTTGACGATAATAAGAGACTCAGCCGATTTTCTGCTGAATGTCTCACGATTCCCTCCAGCGGGAAAGAGGGACGCAGCTGGGATTCAGTTGACTCTCCCGTTAGCATCGCATCAATGCTATTTGAGCAGTCCGCCACCAAGAAACTGGCTATTGATAACAAATTGCAAAAGAAGTGGACTCACGTTCTCACAGACCTCACCAGTAGTGCCTGTAGAAGATTAATCTTCGGATATCTAGCACAAAAGGTAAGCTCCACTACAAGCGAAACTCAAATGCGGCGTCACTTGGTACCGCCGCCAACCAGAACAGTCTTGTCGGAATCGGAGGGGGACTGTTCAAACGAGCGTCAGGTGAACACATGTTCGAAAAATCCCACAAACACCTTACCAATCGTAGCTATCGGTGGCGGTTCCCTCACCTACTTACTTCCGTTTTCTGTTCTTCTCAGGTGACACAAAGGTGACTAGCTGCCAATAAACTGTAAAACGGGATCTGAGGACACTTTAATCCTGCAGCCAGCTGCACCAACTCTTGCCACACTCGGCTTGTTCACGTTCTCAACATGCATTATTTTTGAAGCACTTGCTTTCGTTTTTGCGCAAACAAATTTGGGGGGGGGGGCACTATATAACGACAGCTCGGATTCAAACAGTTTTGAGAAATACACTCATTTTCACACCAATTCTGCGAGCAGTCTGATCCGTCTAGCTTCGAGGGTGGGTCATCTAATCATCTAAAGAAGATTCGGGCGCATGAGAAGAGGACGGCCCGTGGCAGAGTAATAAAGATATACTTTCTGGTCAAAGTAAACCACTTCTGTTATCCGAACCGTCCGAGTGATTCGCCTTAAACGAGAACGGGGAATCAGGAACCTCTTTGGGTCTTTACCAATTGTTTGCTTCCGGGATATAGGACCTGCATGAAGTAGTTCCCTCTCGCAGTCTGCGTGTGCCGAACTACCTGGATATCAAGACTCCGCTTCACAACAAACTACAAAAAAACGTGGAAATGGGAGAATTAGCCAGTCATCCTGGTGGATTGCCGATAATTACCGGCACAATTGAAGGCACTGTGATTGTCCAACAGACCTGTGGTTTGATGGACAAGTTGTAAACGAGGTTGTGAGGATTCGGATCTGTGCGCACCTCATGACCTCCAAGAAGGTCATACTTGTGGACGTGCAGTCACTGAACACGCCACTTACAATCCAGGGAGAGGTACTGGAGTGTGTGGAGCATTTTACGTATTTTGGAAGTTGTATTAGTCCTGATGGTAGTGTGACAGATGAGGTAAATGCACGAATCTGCAAGGCCCTGGCCGCGCTTGCTAATTTGAGACATATATGGCGTCACAGTGGTTTATCCCTGAATCTGAATGGACATGTGTATCAAGCTACAGGACGGGGTGCTTTGTTGTATGGTTGTGAGACCTGGCCTATTCGAGCAGCGGAACTGAGACGTCTTCAAGTGTTCGACAATCGTTGTTTCAGGGCCATACCTCGTGTGGGTTAGTGTCAGCGAATCCGTAATGAGAAAGTTAGGAAGCGCGTTTTCGATTGTGTAACGGGTACTTGCATTGAAGAATGTGTCCAGACCAGAAGCTGCGTTGGTTGGGACATGTTTTACGCATGCCGAACCATCGTTTGCCGAAGAGAGTGCTGTTTTCCATCCCCACTTCACAGTGGCGTAAACAAAGAGTTGGCCAAACCTTGACTTGGTAGAGGAGTATAAAGGAGACCACGAAACGCTTGAGTGCTGTCGGTGCTACTCGAATTCCAGGATGGATAGCACGTGATCCTCACTGTGCCTGGTTGGAGACACTACAAGATGTTAATGGCGTTCTTGTAGTCAGTTTCTATTCAGATCTTCTGAGTGAGTGTTTGGAGGTGTAGGCACCTCGGAATGATTGTGTTAAGCTAGCACCTCTACTCTGTTCTTCACAACAAGGTTGTATCGCAGTGAAGCATCAGTGTTGAACACTTATGTCATGCTGTCGATGATGATGATGATGTTCGGAGTTTTCATCGACCTTGTGAGTAGTACTGTTACCATATATAGTTCTCCTTTGGCAAAGACCACAAATACCAGGTTAGACAGTGTCCCAGAGGAGAGATGAGGTCGCAGTCAGCGGTATTCCAGTCACGTTTCGTTGTTTCGTTACACTTTGGCTAAAAAACAAAACAAAAAAACGAACCGGACATTACACCATTTAATCCCAATGCCGCCGCTATCTCGGCTCTCATCCAGGGCTAATCATGAACATATCACGGTCATCTAGTTTTGCCCCTGTTAGACTTTGGCAGATGACATTCTAGTGACGGTAACATTACCGGAACACAACATATCTGCTCTTGGACTCTGAAAACGTATTTTCCGTTGAACCGAACATTCGTCATGTTCGTCTTGACAAATTGACCGGTTGCAACAGCTGACGTCTTAAGGCAAGTTACCCACCTCTCCCCACCCCTCAAACTGTCCACCCCCCTACCCTTCAGGCACCATAACTTCACCAAAGTAGTTGTAATTCTGACGGACCAGCAACGGCTGGCCGACATTCAGCGGTAGTGGTGTGAAAACGCATCGTCCCCTTTGAGTACTACGCGAGAGAGCATAAATTAGATTTCACATGGGTCGTTCGTGTGACATGCTTAGTTTTGTGGTCTGTCTATTCTACCCAGGGACCGTTCTTCTACCAAGAGTTACCACAGCACAGGTCACCGACAGACAAATGAATGGGTCATAAACTATCCACGCACGTCTATCAACAATTGTGCACAAAGGCCGGTACAAATGTCCCTGGATGTAGCAGACAGATAAATCAGACAAGAGAGGTCACTAGTGATTGGATTCGGGGCTCCGCGTGTTTTCCGTGCATTTGGAAGTTGATTTGTAACTTCAGAAAACAGTAAACAAACTGCACCAATGTCTCCTTTGGACAGGAATTAAAAGGGACATGGTTCACCCCCATCTAAGGTCAACCCGTTTTCTATACCCGGATTGTGTTGAGCACTGTCTTTGGGAGATGAGGTATACTTGCCGACACAAGTCAATGGTGGTTTGATCAAGCCAGATATCTTATATATGTTCGGTGTTCTTAAGAGATCTTTAAAAACCGTTCGCTACCAGCGATCTCATTCTTCAGGTGATCAATACGAACGATATTGCGCGATTAGCTCGGAGAACGGATGTCCAGTTCGCACTGAAGGAAGTTTGCTTTCAAGCAGTCTCATTGTTACGGGAGGCACCATTCATAAGGTTGCTGAAAATTGTTCGATAACCTACTACCAGTTTCGTCCCTATTGGGGCTAATCAGGTGGGCGCGGTCCACCATTTCTCACCAAACTTATGTTCTGATTGAACTAAAATTACATGCGATTTATGAAGCACACTCAGCTGCAAAGCAACTTGCTTTTAGACTTAATGTACTACTCATAAGGTTGCTGAAAATTCTCCGATAAGCCACGACCGGTTTCGCCCTTTTTGGAGCTCATCAGGTATGCGCGATTCTCGAGTTTCCGTCAACCTTATGTTCTACTTTGACCCAAATAGCAAACAAATCTGGGGTTGCGAGAGAATCACCTGGGAACCAGCTAAATCTCTCGTTTGTGATGTTACGTGCTTTCTGATGCTTCCGACGCCAAGCATCTGGCCGTGATTTTCTCGGTCTCTGAGCTGTATTCACTCCACTATGTGGAGAAGAGTACACAGTACTGTACACCACAAAAAGACTGGGCTGAATTAGTGGAATACGTTTTCCCAAACAACTTAGGATTGAAGCTTACGATAGCCACAGAAAAATTCGCCTGAAACTCTTTTGGGGGCTCTCTACGAACAAACGAAGCCAAAATGGTCTATAATAGAAATTTTTATCATTGTCGAAGTAGACGCTTTTCAGAGTTGACTGACTCGGGGTGAGGCCCACATTGTACAAATGTCGTTTTCTGTCCCAAATGATTTTTGATTTATCACAAGTGAGAAACATGGTTGTTGATTACTGTGAACTGATCAATGTTCACCGATAACTCCATCAGTCCGTGGTTCGGCTTTACCAATAAGCAGACTTAACCAAGCGACACAATGGAACACTTAGGTGATCCCGTCACCCAAAAAGTACGCTTTTAGTGAAATACACTCATCTGCGCCTACCTGATGAGCCCCAAGAAGGGCGAAACCGGTCGTGGGCTGTCGAATAGTTTTCAGTGACCTTATGAGTAGTTTCCTTTATGAAAATACACTTTTAGTGCTTTTCAACCGACCCATACCTGGGCTGAAGGAAATTCACTGCTCTTGATACACACTATTCAGTTTGCTTTCAGTAGTTACTAGCCTTCTTCCCTCTCGTTTGCACGGTTAGGTCACCAACGACTCTGTTTTTTCCTTTTCCGCTCTCCGAAACTTGCTGGAAATGAACTTAAATACTGAGTTAGTCGCTGACAACTAACAAGAACTCAAAGGAGACTCATGCTCTGTTAGAATGAATCGATAAAAATCACTGGAAGTGGCCATCCTGATCAGTGACATCTAAAGTTTATCTGTACCCGAGAGGTAACCTTGATGAGTCCCCGTCAAATAAAAATTGGGAGAGTGAATGATGATGGTATGATCTTGGCTGCAATAGGCAACAGCAAAAAATAAGCGAACCAGTAATCGAGATTAGATATTAAATTCCAAGTTTAAAAAGGCATTGTACATCTGAGTTACGTGGAAATTGATGGAGGCAACATTTGGTTCATATTGTGTTTTTTTTTGGAAAATAGGCCGGGTCTTATTTGCGTTGTTATCGAAGTTTCAAGAACAGGCATCAGAAAGGATCATTTACTTGCTGTGGAGATTTCAAAGTCGCAGGAATTGTCTCTGACTTGGCCTCATTCATTTCGGTATTTGGAGGTACCGGCAGCTCTATGCACAAATGCAGTTGGGGATTCCGCAGAACGAACCGAGAGCGGAAAACATTGCTCCAGTTTGTGCGTGTTGAAGAGAAAAAATGCCACGTTGATAACACCGGTACAACTGGTTATGTTCATCTTCTCCGTGAGCAGATCAGCAAGAGTTGAGTCGACAAGCGTCTGTCACGACGCCGCCAATCGTCCCGTTGTGTTTAGTAGTAAAACGTTACACTGCAGAGAAAGGTAACGTCCGTAATAGTGGAGCTAAAAACTGAGCTACTGTGAGAATTAGTGAAGAGTTGTCCACAGATGTTTCATTCAGAAGAACGTCTATACATAAGGATTAGATGGCAAGAGTACAGACATCCGCACGAGGAAGGTCGGTTGCGTTCAGATTCAAATGTATCGCTCAAAATGTTCCGCATCAGGATCTCCACCAGACTCATCAACCGTCTAACTAGTGTATGATAAGATGAGCTATGCCCAGTTTGGTAAGGGTGTTATTCTCCGCGTTCTGGGGATCTTTACCAATTCGAAAAGTTTGGCCGCCGAATAATTTATTGGATTCGGAGAGTGGTACAACGATTCATTTGTTCAAACCATTAATGCAAAACCTTATCCGGCTGGATATTTGCCTTGAACTTTCCTGTATCAGCGAAAGCAATTCTGCCAGGCATGCCTGGGAGTTCACTGAATGAATTTGTTAAACACAAAGTGTTCTTTCCTCTTTTTTTGAAAGCTTAAATTTCTCTGTGAAATCCAGAAATGTCCATCGTACCAAGTACATCAGAAACGAGAGATTCATTTGGGTTTCAGATAAGTCTCTCGTGTAATGTGGGTTCAAGTAGAACATAAGGTTGACGGAAACTCGGGGACCGCGCCTACCTGATGAGTTCCAAGAGGGGCGAAACTGATGGTGGCTTATTGAAGAATTTTCAGCAACTTTATGAGTAATGCATTACCACCATCTTATCGGTTCATCCAATCCACCCAAAACACTTCCACATGCACAATCGATATGGCAAGTTGCAAGTTTCAATTCATGCAAGTGTTCTAACTGGGTATGATTCACATGACCAGAATGATCCACCAAACTTTTCTGAATATTATTGATGTAAAGTGACCCGAGGGATCACAGTCAAATCGAAATTTTGAACAATCCTGTCACAAAAATCGGGATGTTTCCAAGTTAAACACGGGCAGGGAAAGTGACTTTTCATCAGTCTAC